ACATCAATAGTGGTTCTGTTGGTGTAGCGGTTATCACATCTGCTTAACACGCAGAAGGTCGCAGGTTCGACACCTGCACAGAACACTCTCTTTTTATATTATTGATTTTTTTCTTATGATCAAACAAAAATTTCATTTCTAAAAGACGTCTTTAAGTTTATACTTTATTATGCATATAGATTCTATTTTCTTAATAGAAGTTTAAATTGTCTTCATACTGTTAAACTATTGCGAGTTTATCATGAAAGAGAATGATCATTGTATGAGCATGATACTAAATAAACTATAGAGATCAAACATCATAGTACGTTCAAAAGACATACAACAGTTAAATACAGTACCAAAAAGATTTTTTTACAAATAGACATGTACTGAGAGCGAGACCGAAATGATCGGTCTTAGTAAGAGTTGTCTTATCTTTGGAAAATAGCGGTTTTCTCTAAAGCTCGACCAACGACGTCCGAGATCGAGAAAGCTGATGTTTGCTAAGAAAAATTAAACTCGATAATTTCGTGAAACGAAGTATTAGATTCAAATTTTTCGACTTCAGAAATCTATGGTTAAACTTTATAGAAAAGTCGTTATTTTCTCTGGATAAGGCATCCCTGACTGAGATTTAAACCACTACTTACCAAGGCTAAGATCGAAACTGACAGAGAGAAAGAGTATCAGTACAGACCTACTTGGGTACACTCCAACTGAAATGATTATCGTTCAGACCACTGAATTTTTGAGTGTCTTTACATCGCTTTTACACTTAATTAAAGATGTGTTCTGAAATCATCCTTATATAACCTTTGACGACCTTATTTCTCATTATGATGTAGCCTACACCCAAAGAACTCTTTCAAGTGGTTTGCTGAGATTGAAATATCATAAACTTTTTTTCTCGTTAACTTCATTTCTTTTTGCTAAAGTGAAGCTTGAAGTGACTTGCTTGAGTATTTTCATATATCAATCGATAGATAATCTTGAGATCTATTGGACAATATTACGTGCATCTTTGAATTATGCTATACGATGATCAACATGGCCTCCGTCATCAGCTTATCGAGAAAAGTAAATTTTTTTTACATATTCTCCATTTGTCCCTTTTCCTTGTTGACAGCTATCATAAATGAAAGAACTGATTGTTTTCTATTCTAGATACTCAGTGTGACACTTATTTATGTTTCGATTCTCATTTTGTTCATTCTGTATCTCAATAATATCTCATCAATGTCTGAAAACGTTGTAAAAATCGATGCCATAATATTTGTCTTAAAATAATATCCTTGTTTGACTTCGTATAGTTGTAGTAAACAACTCGTTTGTTTCAAAGAATTCTTTAATCGTCCTTTTCTACATATAATTATTATCTTTGTGTGCGTCCGCTTCTTTTCCATGTATAATACTATGAATATAATTTGTACATGTTGGTCTCTATGCAAGAATATTATTTATGACATAAAACATTTTATAATAATGAGAATTATATATCAGGCGTTGCTTAGATCTAAATGAACGTAGATTGATATACAAAGATAAAAAAAAATCTTGTTTTGTTGAATTCGGAAAATAGATTATTTTCATAAGAAATATCTTAGAACTTAGATTAATGGTGTAAACTGTTGGTTCTTATGAAAAATAAGGTATCAAGCGAGTGCTAAAGAAAATTCATAAATTTGTACTCGATATGCAATATATCATTTGTCAAATTATTTTGTGATTTACTGTTTTGCAGCTGCAGAATTGAACTAAATAGATACCAATGTAGCTACACCAACAGAATTAGAAAATCAACTTTATTCTCGAGGAGAAGCCTATAAGCACATATTGTTTAAAATTAATTTCGTTATCGTTTAATCAATTTTCACAATACGTAATAACAATTGTGTTTTAACACAACTTTGAATCACTAGACAATGTACCGATGATAAATTAAATTTCTATGTTCCATACGATGCTGTGACATTTTGTTTTTGGTTCATTATCGGCGTCACAGATAATGATAAAAGTATCCACTGAAAGCAGAATAAAAAGGATTTACACTTGAAATGGAAGATGATGCACATATTCAACTATCCATGCGTACTTTATCTATTATATCTCAATGTCAGAAATTTTGGCAAGATTTATCTTGTGAATACACCAAGGGCAATTAAGGATAATTGTTTGACTGATATGCATAAATATTTATAATAAGTAAAATAATTGTTTTTGAAGAAGATCAAGTTATTCTTGGATCAAATTTAAATTCTAAATATACACGATTAACAATAGAATAAGGTCAATTACAATATCTGTCGTATTAATGTACCAGATATTTAGGATTCTAAACAATATGAATTTGTAAAAATCTACTGCAAAAGTATTGCAGTACATAATACTCAAGTTTCTAAAATTAGAGTCGAAGTCTACACAAAAACGTTATTAATTATTATTATATATAATTCTACGCTGTCCTAGATGTCTTACGATGATGTTTTCAAAAGTGATCTGATATTTTGATTGACATAGATATTTGATCAATAAAATACATGCACTTCTCATTTTTACTTTTTGTAATGGATAAATATCTAATAAATAAGTTTAATTTAGATTTCGAAGCTTGAGAAAAAAATTGAAGTCCTGAAAAATTTGTCTTGTTTGGACGTTATTTATATGCGAACGGGACAGCATAACGAAAATTGAAAAAAGGAGCTTTCCGTTCGATTTCAACACTTTCACCTAACGCTTGAACGAAGATTATCTAACACTCGGTCTTGACGCTCACTGCGACAAAAAATGTGCGTAGGCCTAGCTAGAAATAAATAAATAAAAACTCTCGACGAACCACTATATTGGTGCTTCGCACCGCATTAATAAAAGAAAAGAAATATATACTCCAGATTAGTAAATTGAGCATAACATCGTACTATATTTATGCATTTCAAAGAATATTTTTTTCAAATGATACTTTTAATCTTTCTCTACAAAATTAGATATGTCGACCAATTAACAATATAGAGATTTGTCATAGATATTATTGGTTTAGTGAAAAGAATCGAAACTTTTGAATTACTCTTTAGTAATTATTAGAGTTCTGAGATTTCCAAATTTTTTCTTTAATTTAAAATGCATATTTATTTTCATAGTTTCATATATTTATTAAAAATGAAATGTAGACATTTAACATGACACTAATATAATTGATACGACAATAAATGAAAATCTTTAATCGTTGAGAGCAAGAATTTGTTCAGTCTTTTGTACAATCGAATCGACTTTATCTGCGAACCATTCAATTTCTTCTGTGGTAACAATAGTATCATGAACAGCAAATAAACATCTTATAAGATCAGAAAAACATTTAACAGCTCCTTCAAAATTATATTTATAGACTAAATATTTCCAGATGAGTTCAGTATATGTACTTTGAATATATAGAATTTGTTTGATATTTGATAAATTTACAGTAGGAGTATTTGAATAAACTGTATATCTAAATGTTGAGAAACAAACAATAGCGAGAAGCAGTTTCAAAACAATCACATCAAAATCAAGTCGATTTGCTACACGCTTAGTAGAAGTTATTGCAGCTGAATTAGTAATCATTCCAACAGTATCATAATAAGCCGAATAACTAAATAAATGAATTTTGTGGTAAATGAAATTTGTAGAAAGACTTCCAATATGTTTAATTGTAGTATGAAGTAAAATAGAACGATCATCTGTAGATAAACAAAGAAAATCTCGGTTATTTTTATATAATAATTGAGTTTCATCCAATAACACTTTAATGAATTCGAGTACTGGTGCACTTTTAAAACGAATTTTAATAGGTAAATCAGTTTGTCCACGCATGAAACGTTCACCTATTGACAATCCACTATATTCATCATAGCAATGTGATAAATTTGAGAGCAAAGTCCATTGATCCATACTCAATGTTGATTGATCTCTTTGTAAAAGATTCAAAGTAGAAAACTATACATTGAAAACAAAAAAAAAACATTAGTAGAAAATAGACCAGTTGTGAAAGTTTCAATTCTATTTATATTGATATAGAATTCAAACATATGTATCATTTTATTATGGACAACTCGATTGATATCTAATTAGTAAGTTTACCTAGTTAAAATTAAAATCAACAATTAGTACTTGTTAATAAATTAATCTGATGTACTTCACTATAAAACTAACATTAAAATTCTAAGAAATACTTAGATTGAAGCGAACGAAGCAAAAACACGTTTGGAATGACCGAATATGTGCTAACACTTAGAGAGAATTTGGAATTCAGCAGACGAACATGTTCCGAACTACTTATTCATAACGCATTTGTTTGTTCAGCAAACATGTTTTGAATGAAACTTCAAATAAACGTACACATTTCGAGCAAGGAGCTCGAAACATGTTCGTGACATTTTTTCAAAATTTTCTTCAAGTGTTCACCCATCGCAAATGCGTTTATCGCTCCATTCGCCTCGACTTGTGTAATATTTTGTATTTAGTTTCATTGAATAGATGTTCGCTCATAAAATTGAATCAAGGAGACAATTCCAAGATATTTACTTTTTTTTTTGCTTATTCTATGGAGTTAAATGCCTTTTATAGATTAAGGATATTTTAAGAATGAACAATATTCATTCTATAAATGGAAATATTTCGAGAAACTTAAATATTACACGACAAAAACCAATAAAAGATAATTTTCTTTGTATTTCTTTGAAAAATAGATTCTCCAGCAAAGAATTGACGTTTTGTTGCTTCTTCTCTTTCATGATAAGGCTTAAGGGGATAATAATTTTTTATTGTTACCTCGTCTAAATTGGAATGTGCTTATTTTTTTGTTGAGACATCATTCTTAAGACTTTTTATATATAGGATAAGATTAATACAATTAGAAAAAGACACGTATCTCTATTTAATACAAGTAGTTGATATAGAGACAAATTTTAACTCTTAAAAAAAAATCTATGGAATTTACTAGAAGGAAAAAGTAAAGTCATTTTCTAACTTCTTCACTGTCAAGAACTCTGAGAACGAAGCACGTGAAAAGTTTAAATCTATAATAAATTTAAGTTTTCTCACTGGAATCTATCTGCTTTGAAAGTTACTGAAATTGTTGAGAAATCTTGGCATGAGTTGCCCATTGAAAAATAAAATTTAAAAGTAACTGTGAATATTTTTTTTCGAGACGATTATAAACGGTTGAATAAAATAAAGTGTCAATTTAAAAGACTTTTACTCATAGTGACAACGGTCACATATTTAAGTAAAGTATGATGAAAAATTAATGCGACGAACATCGGACTCTATTTCTCTTCGATAGAAAGCTACTGAAAGAAAACCTTTTTTATCAGAAGGTAGAGAATTTTTTCTTCTTTCAAATCATATACAATTTCTTTTTAAAAATAAGTGGTATACGATTCGAAAGAAAAAAAAAACTCTCTATCTTCTGGTAAAAACGGTTTTCTTTCAGTAACTTTGTATCGATGAGAAATAGGATCCGACCTTTGTCTCATTACTTTTGCATCATATGTTATGATAATCAAATAGTCTTACCCTTGTAGGCTCATTTAATCGAGCTAAAATTTTTGATGCTCTTTGTTCTGATTTGGCAATTAATTTTCTTTTTTCATTTGGTTTATTTCTGTTTGAAAAAGTAGATTTAGTCACCTTAATTTGCATTCCACTGCTAAAACATTTGACAAGTCGACAGTAAGAACAAACATGACGATTATTTATATTTATTTCACAATGACCATCATAACGACATTTCAATGTTTCCTTAAAAAAAAGAAGTGAATATAATTAATAGCAAATACATGTTTTCAATTGACCTGTCCATGTGTAGCATTTCGTTTAAAAAACATTTTACATGGTTCACATGACATAACCCCAAAATGTGAGTATATAGCAGGAACTCCACAAACTTTGCAGTTACTTTCTGCCATTGTTGACTGTCGTGTTTTATTTTTAGAATTATTAGACGATGAATTTTTCATCAACAGGATACGTTTCTATTTAATGAAATCTAGAAAAAAGAAGAAACAATATTTGAATTACGATATTCAACAAAAATTATCAAGAGACAATTCAAACATTCATCCAATTATAATCTGAGCCATAAAAAATAATTACAAAACTATTAAAAGCAACACAATTCTTTGTTTAGCATATATATCTATCATCTCAAATTAAAATAATGATTGTGGTAACAGTTCTATACTTATTTTATGACTAAATTATATAAACTTTAATTTAGATAAAACAAAAAGAGAACGAGAAATGACAAGAGACAGAAAAAAAGTAGACTTTTTTCTTTCTCTCCGAGAAAGAGAATGTTGATATTCAGATAAATACTCATATTATGATAGTTGGTGTAAGAAGAAGATTATCATTATGCAGACAAACAAAAATACACTAATAGAAATTTAAGCAAAAACTATGTAAATGAAAAAAGTTCATGAAATTCAAATAAAAAACACAAGAACAAAAAAATGACACATCGTATAATGAAACGAACAGTAAAATTAATATATATTGAATTCATTCATTAAAACAAAGATTTTAATCCCGAAATTGGAGTGCATTAGGTTTTTAATCCAAGTTATGACATAACTTGGATGAAAGCGTATGTTTTCATCAATCAAAAAACCAATATAAATTAGTTTAAGTGTTTGTTTTTCTATCCAAAATCTCATTTCATTTCATGTTTTGACTTTTAGGATGATAACCATTTCTTTATATTTAGAAGAAAATTTTTTTCAAAACTGACATAAATTTTCGAAGAAAATAGTAAGCAGAATTTTTAAGACAAACTTTCCTAGTTTCTCCTCTCTCCATCTCTGCTCATTAAAAATCTTCTTAAGGCATCCTTAAAAAAAAAGAAAAAATTCTGTTCAAAATGCAAAAATAAATTAGAACAGATCCTTACTCTGATAATTGATTATCTTGAAGAACAACTCTAATCTGAAAGAGATTTTTCATCTAAACTAAGTTGTATTAGTCTAATGAAATTAAAGAACATATGTATGTTCTACATTTCAGCCCCTAAGGGCATGCACTAACAAGTTTCTTTTTCTTCAATCTTATTCATTCTTCAAATAAGTTGAGTGTAATCAAATATTTAATTTAATTAGAATATTGACATGAAATAATGCACAAAAAGAAATGAGATGAATAGTATTACTAATGAGAAGATCATTTTTCATTCTTTCGATGTCAACTGAAATTCTAAGTAATATTCTCCTACATTGAAATGATCATTTTGTTTTTAGATTTTTTCATTGAATAGAATTATTTACTCTTCTACGAAATTATTTCTAAATAGAACAAAAAACACTGCTACGTAAAAAATCTAAAGCTAAAC